CCAGCATCTGCAGTTCCTGCTATCTCTGAGGTATATCCTGGGCTGCTGTGAGAGGCAAGGGAGGCAACTGTAGGGGCTGTGTCATTAATTCTCACATCCTCTCTGTCCACAGGAGAAGACCAAAAGATTGGAAGACAGCTGATGTGGTACCATTATTGAAGAGAGGCAGTCAGGATAAACCAGAAAGCTATAGGCCAGTGAGTCTAACATCAGTGGTCGGGAAACTTTGGAAAACATTCTGAGGGTCAGAATTAGTTTCCATTTGGAGAGACAAGGATTAATCAAGGAGAATCAGCATGGCTTTGTCGGGAGAAATCATGTCTAAAAATTTAATTTTTATTTTGAAAAAGTGATGAGGTGTATGTAGTGGATATAGTCTGTATGGAGTTCCAATAAGATTTTTGTCAAGGTGTCATGTTGGAGACTGGTCAAGAAGCTAACAGCCTATGGGATCCAGGGCAATTTGGCAATTTTGATCCAAAATCAACTTAAAGGCATAGGGTACTAGTTGGATTTTTTATGACTGACAGCATGTACTTCGTGGCACATTGTAGGGTTCAGTGCTGGGTGTCTGGCTATTTGTTGCGTACACCAGTGATCTAGAGATGAATGTAAGAAGCTTGATCAGTCAGTTTACAGATGACACAGAAATTAGTGATGCAGTAAATAGCAAGGAGGAAAGCCTTGGACTACAGGACAAGTGGACAGAATGGTGACTGTGAAGAGCCTCTTTCTATGCTGCAATACTCTGTGACTGTAGATCGTGCTGATTACATTTACCAGCCCCTTCACATTTCCATGTGACTCCCATTTTCATTCATCCTCCTATTTAATCCATTGCACAGAATCAGGCCATTCAGTCATTGATTCATGATGATGTTTATGCTCTTCACGAGCCTCGTCCCTCTGCCTCTTAATTTCATCCCATCACCATATCCATTTATTCCTTTCTTTCTCATGCATTTATCCAGCTCCTTCCTTTTATAAATGTTGATTCACCTTGTCCTTCCTGTGAGAGTGAGTTCCACATTCATCCTGCTTAAAACATGTTTCTTGAAATCCTGATTGGACTTATTACTGAATATCTAATATTTATGATCCTAGTCCTGGTTTCACCTGCAAGTAGAAATTTTTAAATATTTATGCAATTGAAACTTCCAGAATTTTAAGGATCTCTATTAGGTCAGCCCATCAGCCTTTTTTGTTCTAGATAAAAGTCCATGACTCTGTTCAATATTTCCTGATCATTATCTACTCCCAGTCAGTATTTCATTTGTGAAAGACTCAAACTGCTGTGATGTAAATTTTTCTACAAGTAGCTGTTCCCAGTTTACTTTGGGCAAATTCCTGTCTTATTATATTAAAACCTGCCCCGCTCCCACCCCCAAAAAATTCTGAGCTTACATTCCTGGTCCAACACTTTTCTTTTCATACAGGGACGATAAGAGTCAGTATGGATTTGGTGAACCAAATGGTCTGTTTTCCTGATGGAAAGAAAAATAAGCAATTTCTACTGCTAGAGAGTTTAGGACATGGGAAAAATAATCCTCAAATCAAAGCTGAGCCATTCAGGAAAGAAGTTGGGAAACAGTTCTTCTTATAACAGACTGTACAAGTGTGGAACTCTCTCCCATACAAAGCAGGAGATGCTGTGGTGCAACTAGTTATTTTGTATCTGAGATTGATAGAATTTTGTTAATCAAGGGTATTAGAGAACTTGGAGTTTGTATTAATTGGCAAAACAGATGTAGGATTCTTGACAGTGTAGATGTGGGGAGAATTCCTCCTCATGGGAGAGCCTAGTGTGGGGGGAGACAGTTCAAAACTAAAGGACCACCATTTAAAACAGAGATGAGGAAGATGTTTATTTCGTAGAGGGTCATTAGTTTGTGGAATTTTCTTCCCCAGAGAACATTGAAGACTAGTAGAACATAATCCAAGGCCAAGTTAGATGATAAATCTATCTACAAGGGAATCAAGGGTTATGACAAAAGTGGAGTTGTCTATTTTATTGAATACCACAGCAGACTCAAGGGCCAAATGGCCCTCATTATCATTGTCTAAACAATATTGTATAAAATGAGCATGAGAGATTTGCGTATGAATGATCCAGTATAAGGATTTTGCCTAACGTTTCCTTTGAGTTTACATTGAAATGCACTGTGACATATTCATGAAGAACCTAATTCCATCCACCTCTTGTCCCTGTCTCAACGACTGATACAGATGATGGTGAAGCAACTGGTGTCAAAGCTACTAGATCCACATTCATGGACTACTTACCACAAGACATATCCCTCGAGATGGAGGACTCGAGCATTACGCTTTCTTTGAATAGTCAACAGAGGTACAGACACACACCGCTCAGGGTGGAAGAATGAAAAGACCTTGTTACTCAATAGAGTCTTTCACAATATTGGAATATCTCAAAGCATTTCACAGCTGATTCGCAGTGTAGTCACTGTTATAGTGCAAGAAACGTGGCAGTCAAATTGTATATACCAAGATCCCACAAACAGCAATGTGAACATCTTTAGATCATTTGGATGTTGATCCAGGGATAAATATTGGCCAGGACACAAGGGAAAATTCCCTATCTTCTTCCAACACTGTCATGGGATAATTTACACTCCCTGAGAGGGCACTTGAGGCCTTGATTTAACATTTGGGAAACCTGGTTGACATGGTCGAGTTGGACCAAAGGGTCTGTTTCTGTGCTGTGTGACCCTGTCGTTTGAAAATTAGCACTTCCAACCATGCAGCACTCCCTCAGAACTGCATTAAGAATATTGGCTTAGATTACGTCCTTCTGCCAGTAGAGTGGGGTCTTGAACCTATTGTTTCAGAGAGGACCGTGCTAGTTACAGAGGCATAGCTGTTGTGAGCTCACATTTGTTGTTATTGATGTGGATTTGTAGCTCGGGTTGTGGATGAGGTTGTAGACTTGCTCACTGAGCCAGTGTGTTCGATTGCGGACGTTTCGTCACCCTGCTAGGTAACATTGTCAGTGCGCCTCCAGCGAAACGTTGGTGTTCTGTCCCTATTTATATGCCTCAGTTTACTGGGGTGATTGGTATTACTTCCAGCTCTGTTTTTTTTTTAGTGAAAAACATTACATAGGACAGACTGGAAGAAAACTGACAATAAGGATACGTGAACACTAACTAGCTACGAAGAAACACGACCCCCAATTCTCACTGATCTCAATACACACGGACAAAGAAGGACATGAATTCGACTGGGACAACACATCCATAATAACACCAGTCAAACAGAGACATGCCAGGGAATTCCTGGAGGCCTGGCATTCCAACCAGAACTCCATCAACAAATACTTTGAACTGGACCCAATTTACAAACCACTGAAAAACAGAACCGGAAGTGATGCCAACCAACTCAGCAAACCGAGGCATATAAATAACAAGCGGGACAGAATATCAATGTTTCACCGGAGGCGCACTGACGATGTTACATAGCAGGGTGATGAAACGTTTGCAACGAAACACACCGGCTCAGCAAGCAAGTCTACAACCTCGGACCTCCTTGTGCCTGCTGTGTTTCTTGGTTGTGTGCCCACCCTTCTTAATGCTGCTGATCTAATTTGCTGCCATCTTGTTTTTTTTGCAGACACCTGCATTGGAACTTGAAGATGTTTCATTTCCACTATGAGCCTGAAGACTTTTATCGGATAATGCCCCATCTTATCCTGCCACCCATGAGAATCCAGCTAAGCCTAGAAAGTAAGGGTGACCCCTGGAGGTCACAGTTTAATTTTGTTAAGTTTCTGTTGATCGTTTGAATTTTGTTTTTATTTCAGTGCCCCTCCAGGGTCGAGCTGATTTGTTTAACATCTATTAGAAGAGCAGAAGGTGAGGACCATCAGAGGAGCTGTATTTTGTCAGGCTGCGTGGCACCAGTTGTCATGGTACCCATCAGAGAGGTGTCTTGTCCCAAGAGACCTAATGCAATGATATTTGTTGACCACACAGACGGTTTAAAGCAGTGGCTGTCAAACTGGTGTGTCTGTCTCTGTGACTCTGTGTGTGTGTGTGGTGTAATTTGCAAATACTTGTCAAGAAGGGCCAATGTTATGGTTGGTTGATGTGGGCACCCCCCCCCCCCCGGGTGCTGTGTTCAGCTGGAGGTGAATGAGAGGCAGCCCTGGTGGGAGTTGACATGCAATGCCCACTAGATTGATTGTCTTACCGGAGAGGGGAGAGAGAAATGTACCTGACGCATCGACATCTGTGAATAAATACGTGATTGGGGCTTTCCATACTGTGGGGTGACACCTCCACATGATGAGATGTACAATGGGAGGCAATAGCCTAGCGGTATTATCGCTGGACTGTTAATTCAGTGACCCAATTAATGTTCTGGGGACCTGGGTTCGAATCCTGCCACAGCAGATGGTGGAATTTGAATTCAATAAATATCTGGAATTAAGAATCTAATGATGACCGTCAGAAAAACTCATCTGGTAATGTCCTTTAGGGAAGAAACTGCCATCCTTACCTGGTCTGGCCTACATGTGATTCCAGACCCACAGCAATGTTGTTGACTCTTAACTGCCCTCTGAGCAATTAGGGATGGGCAATAAATCCTCCGTAGCCAGCTATGCCCTCATCCCATGAATGAATTAAGAAAAAAAAAACAAGGAAGGATTTGGGATAGAAAGCTAACAGTTGTGAGATCCCTTCAAATGATTGTGGGTTGTTTTGTTGGTGTGTGTGACCTAATATATTGCTCTCTGAGGCTTCATTTGCTGCTGCAGATATTTTTAATCAACCAGTTCAAGGATTAGAGGTAGGGACACCAGCACTATGCCACGAGAGTTCCCTCCAGTTGCTGCTGCGAAACAAATGTGTGTATAGTAAGTTGCTTGTGTTTAATTGGAGAAGCCCTGCCTTTGCACCAAATCTCCCTGCTCTAGCTCCTTGCGTTCCAACCATGCCCAATGACCCTCATTACCCTCCCCCTCACAATTTTCACTCTGGGGTCATATGAAATCAGGGCATAAAAATGTGAGTGATACCAGGAAATTGTTTGGGAACCATTGACATGTATTCTTAAAATATTGAAAGTTTCTTCTCATCAGCACTAACTTATGATGGGTATTATAGAATATTAAAGTTCTTGTGTCACACTTAATTGGGAACAGCAATAGGCCATTCAGCCCATCAAGCCTGCTCTGCCATTTAATATGGATCATGGCTGATTGAACACTTCAGTGCTTTTTTACCTACACTATCGATAATCAGACATGTATCAAATTCTACCTTAAATAAACTTTAAAGATGGAGTTTTCACAGTCCTCTGGGATAGAGATCTCCAAAGATTCACCCCCTTCTGAGTTAAAAATATTTCTCCCCATCTCTATCCTAAAACTGCATCCCCCTTATTTTTAAATTTTGCCCCCTGATTCTAGATTCCCAACCAGATAACATCTTACCTGCATCTACCCTGTCTATCCCTTTTAAATGTTTTGTAGGTTTTAATGGAGTGACCTCTCATTCTTCAAAATGCCAGTGAATACAGGCCCTGTTTGCCCAATTTTTCATCAAAGGACAGTCCCTCCAACTGGAGAATAAGTCTGACAGAACTTTATTGCAGTCCTTCAGTGACAACAATATCTTCCTTGAGATTAAAAGAAAAAGCAAAACTGTACACAGTACTCCAGGTGTGGTCCAACCAAGCTCCTATACAATTGAAGCAAGGCGTTGCTACTCCTGTTGTAAATTTCAAATCCTTGAATCGTCTTGCAATAAAGACTAACGTGCCATTAGCCTTCCTACTGGATTGCCTACAGGTGGGAAGGAGTCAGTGGAGAACCTCTGACTTAGCGGAGCAGATCTGTTCTCAGCACATTGTCAGCTATTTATTTACTTGTTCTCTCTCTCTCCCTGCCTTTAGATGGACTGCTGTTGTCTCAGAGTCGCCAGCGGATACTGAGCCTGAGCCAGCTCAGCAGCTCCTTGCAGGTGAGTGAGACTTGGATGGTGATAGCAGGTAGCCTTAGAGCTGTTTTTCAATATGGGTGCAGGCAGAAATGACAGACTCCTGACATTCCACTCCCAATATGTGCCGCATCTGCCTGAAGATTGATATCAGCATCAACAACTTGCATTTATAAAGGATGCTTCCTTTGCTTGTAGGAGGCTCTATCAAACTAAATTTGCCACTGGGCTATTTAAGGAGATATGAAGATCCATTTCTTCGCTGAAGGTTGTTAGTCTTTGGAATTCTGTTCCCCAGGAGCTTGTTCCACAGTGTTTGTGTCAATAAATATGCCGGTCCTCCAATTCCATTTTTGTTGTCCTTACTGTTTGATCTGTTTCCATGGCCCTTTCAGACTGTGCTTCACAATTCTCAGCATCTCACTGGGTGGGTGGGTGTTATTTGTTTAATAAACCATAAATCTGAAGTTGCTTCCAGTTTCCTGTGTTTTTCAGATCACAGGCATCGATATTTCTGCTTCCATCACTATCCATACCTGCGCTGTTCACTACCGGCACTCTGAGTGTTCGCACTGGTTGGCCCTTTCAGAAAAATCTACAGATGCTCAATTTACAGCTAAAAGGTTTGTGTCCAACTCTCACTCTTCTGAATTTTTATCCTTCTTAATAAGATTATCACACAGGAACTCTGTCATCTCCCCTTCCCCATGGTTTTTGTTACTGACTGTGCCTCCACTGATGTTAATCCAGCTCCTTCACAACTATCAGGGGAAGACAGAGGCATAGTGCTATTATTACTAGACTAATAATTCAGAGACCCAGATTAATTCTCTAGGGACATGGGTTTGAATTCCACAATGGCAGATGGTGCAATTTGAATTCAGTGATAAAATCTGGAATTAAAAGCCAATCTGACGGAGACCATAAAATCCTGTCAATTGTACGCTCTCGGGTGGGAATTGCACTGGGATTCATCACCGTTCACTCTGGACTCCATGAAGTCTCACATCATCGAGGCAACATTGTCCAGGAAGCCTCCTTTTGATTCCCACCTACAGGTCACCCAGCCTTCTCCACCCCACATCCCACCCCTCACCTGATGTGTAACCTCATGGTCTGGCATATCCCCACTCAACTATTGACATTAAAATGGGGATCAACCCTCATCAATGAAGAGCGCAGGAGGGTACCAGGCATACCTGAAAATGAGGTGTCGACCTAGTGAAGTTACACAAGAAGACTATTGCATGAGAAATAGTAAAAGCAGGAAGTGAAAGAGCTAAGCAGTTCTGAAAACAATGGAATAGATTCAAGTTTGACTACATCCAGTTGTGAATGATGGTGGACATGTAAACATTTAAAAGGTAAAGTCACCGTAGTCCTAGAAGACCATAGGGCTGTTCTGCCATTATTGAGAGACGACTGGTGGTGGTTTAATGTGGGAGTCACTATCGCTCAAGTGAAGGGTAAGGTCAAAAAGGTGGGACCTTCACGGTGACTTCAGCCAGTTCAGGAAGTAAACCCATGCTGTTAGCACCACTCTGCATTACAAACCAGCCGTCCAGCCAACTTAGCCAACTGACTGCCTAGTTAAACAATTAACGGGCAGACAGGGCACCAGAAATATCCCCATATTCAATGATAGGTGAGCCCAGCACTTCAGTGCAAAAGATATGATTGAAGCATTTGCAACAATTTTCAGCTAAAAGTGCTGAGTGGATGATGCCCTTTATTGAAGGAATTGTCCTGTAGGGTGGAAAATTGTTGTTCTTGCCTGGTCTGGCCAACACGTGACTCCAGACTCACAGAAATCTGGTTGACTCTAACTGCTTTCTGAAATGGCCTGAACAAGTCACTCACTTCAAGCGCAATAAAGTTGGCCTCAGCCAGCGATGCCCACATTCCATGAATAAATATTTTAAAAATCCATCTCAATGTCCTCGGGAGTCCCCCTAGCTTTCCAGATACCTGTTTTTAACCAACTCAGTTCACTCCACGTGATGTCAAGGAATGACCAAAGGCACTGGTAAGGCTATAGGCTTTGACAGCATTCAAGCTATACTGAAGATTTGCACTCCAGAACTAGTTGCACCCCTATCCAAGCTGTTGTGTCTGCACAGCTATAACACTGGTATTTGCCCAACAATGTGAAATATTGCTCATGTATGGCCAATACACAAAAAGCAGGATATCCCAGCCTGTGGCCAAATAACGTCTGATCAGTCAACTCTCATTCATCAGCACGGTGGCGGAATGTATCATAAAAAATGCAGCAGTACTTGCTTTGCAATAACCTGCTCATAGCTGATCAGTTCCACCGTCTCATTTCTTAACCCCATTACAGGCTTTATCCAAAAATGCACAGAAGAGCTGAGCTCCAGATGGAAAATTAGAGTGATTGCACTTGGCATTAAGACAACATTTGAATAAAAATGGCATCAAAGATCCAGCAGGAGTGGAGTCAATGAAAATTAAGTGGAAACTTTCTGCAAGTGGAGTGTAGCTAGCACAGACTAAGATGGTTGCGGTTGTAGGAGATGAAACTTCTCAGTCCAAAGGCATAACTCCACGGGTGCCTTGGAGTAGTGTTGTAGGCCCAAACATCTTAAGCTGATTCATCAAAGACATTTCCACCACCATAATTTCAGAAGTGGGGATGTTGGCTGAAGTTTGCACAATATTCAGCACTTCTCAGATACTGAAACAGGCTATGTCCTTATGTAGCAAGACCTGGACAAGTCTAGGTTTGGCCCGATAAGTTGTGAGAAACATATGTGCCACACAAATGCCATGCAATGACCATCTCCAGCAAGAGAGAACCAAACCATCACCCCTTGACCTTCAGTGGCCTTACCATAGCTAAATCCCCCACTATCACATCCTTGGAGATTACCATTGATCGGAAACTGAACTGGACCAGCCACATAAATAGTGTGGCTACAAGAGCTGGGAATTCTGTGGTGGCAACCAGTCTACTGACTGCCTAATACTTGTCTACCAACTACACTGCATAACTGTGATGGAACACTAACCTGGATGAGTACAGTTCTGTCAACACTCAGAAACTTCACATCGTCCAGGACAAATCAGTCTGCTTGATTGGTATCCTATCCATCATTGTCAACGTTCACTCTCTTCATCAATGTACAGTGACACAGTGAGTACCATCTACAAGATGCACTGCAGCAACTCGCTCAGGCATGTCTGACAGCACCTTCCAAACCTGCAGCCTACACCATTTGGAAGGATAAGGGCAGCAGGAGCATAGGAACACCACCACCTTCCAAGAACACAGTGACTTGTCTTGGAAATATATCGCCATTCCCTCACTGTTGGTTTACGTCCTGGAACTCCCTCCCTAACAGAATTGCAGATGTCCCTATATAGCCCATGGACTGCAGCATTTCAAAACATAATTCACCATCACTGTCTCTAGGGCAGCTAGGAATACAGTCACAACTGTCACAGTGCAGAAGCCTGCACCTGTTCTAATAGACAATTTATGGTGATCTAGCCAGTGATGTTCACGTCCCATGAAAAATTTAAAAAGCTCAGTCACTCAGTCACTCGTCTGACAATGTGTCAATATCCTCATACCGCCATTCAGTAACCCTTCTGACTGTATCTCTACTGATGTTAGTCCCGTTGCCTTGCACAGTGGAAAGGAATAACCGTTCCCCCAGTCCCAGTTGAATAGATATCGCTGATCCTTGCTTTGTGAATGATACTCCCTGTGACTCTAGCTTTACTGTAGTTTTGCTCTGTGTTTAATCAGGCAATTTCCTTTACTGAGAATCCCCATCAGCGTCACTTATTCATTGTCGAATGTCAGCAGCTCTGTCCAGTTTCCCGATGTACCTGCGTTTGCACTGGGCTTCGACTCTGTCTTTGCAGGTAAGACTACTCCTTAAAGCCTGCTTTCACTTGACCTTTGCTACATTACCCCATAAATCTCCACTTTCTTACCCCCTTCCTAATTTTGCTTCTTTGCATCACATCGGTTAGGTGGAGAAATGTTTATTCATGTATATTCCTGAGCCTTGTATGATGACTGGATTTCCTGTGTTGCTCAGAGCTCATCAAAGGGTATTGCTTCCACATCAGAGTCTTGTTGACAGGAACTTTTTAATTCCTTCACAGGTGGTGGGTGTTGCTGCCAAGATCAATATTTATTGCTAACCCTCATTGCCCTTGAGAAGATGGTTTTGAGCTGCCTCCTTGAACCACTGCAAGTGTAGCAGTTTGGTACAGCTGAGTGGCTTGCTGAGGCATTTCAGAGAGCAGTTAATAGTCAACTATATTGCTGTTGGCCAAGAATCTCCTATGGTGCAGACTGGATGAGAATGACAGATTTCCCAGTTAACCCAAAAATCTAGTAGTTCTGTGGTGATCATTACTCAGATGAGTTTTGTTTTTAAATTGCAAATGAATTTATAAACAGAAATGAAATTTCTCCAGCTGTCATGGTGGGACTTGAGCTTGTATTTCCAGGTCATTAGTCTAGGCTATTGGACTACCAACCTAGAAACAAATATGTTACTATTGTACCATTTAGATGAAGGAGTATTTGGGAATGGGAAATAGTTGGACCATGCTGAGTAAATGAATATTAGTTCATCTTTTAAGTCATACATTAATCCCTATTTTGGGAGAAACTATTATGTCTTTTTATATAATGGCTGCTGCTTACGTAAATTGTCACACCATAATTACATGCTTTCACCAGCTGCAGCATGACAAAATTCATAACACAAAATTTGCCATAAAACACACACAGATGAAAGTTTCTTGATATGTTACTTCAGACATTGCTGGTTGTCTCTCTTTGTTTCTTTTCCTCCTTGTGTTTCCCTTTTTATCCCCTGTTTCTTGCTGTATTCCTGCTTTATGTTTTCCTTTCTATGTGTCTGCCCATCTACTGCCTTTCTCTCCCATTCTTTGTGCACCCATTTATGATTCCTTTGCCGCTTTCTCTACCATCTCTTTCCTTTTCCCTCTCCATTTCTTCCCTGCTGAGTTATTCACTCTTGCTCTGCATCTCTCTCTCCTCCTTTACTCTGTTTTTTTTTCCCCTTTTGTGTGTTTTCCTAATCCATATTCATTTATCCCTCTGTCTGTCTTTCGTTCTCTTTCACTTTTCCACTCCTTTGTTTTTCTTTCTTATTTGCTTTAATTTCTCCTTTTGTTTTTCCTGTTTCACTTGGTCTTGGTTTATCCTTTTCTGCTGTTTCCCTGTCTTTTTACTTCCATGTTTTTCCTGTTTTATTTAATCCTTTAAGTGATATGTTATTTTGGTGCTGCCAGTGGTGGCTGGGGCTTGTGGGATCTGGAGGATAAATATTGACCTGAAAGAGAGTAGGCTAAAGCTGTAATGACAAGATGCTGTCATACAAGGAGAAGTGAATACCGTGAATGCCAGGACATGTGGAACTTGGACATCAGCCCCAGGCGTACAATAGGGTGTGTGAAATGGAAAGGAAATTAACAAAGGGACAAATAAGATTGAAATCTTTGCTGTTTAAACTCGACCTCAAGTGTAATATTCAAGTCAGAACAGTGTGATGCTTCATCAGTACTGACCCTTTAACAATATGAAGCACACCCTCATTACGTACTTTTCCTTAGTAGTGCACTTCCTCAAAACAGATCCTTTGACAATATAGCATTCTCTCAGGGTATTGCCTCAGCCCATACCCTCAAGATAGTGCATTGCGCCCTCAGGACTGGCCAACTGACAGTTCAGCATTTCCCCTGCTGGCTTTTCAGTCGTGCAGCACCCACTCAGTACTGAGCCTCCGACAGCCTGACTCTCCCTTCTGTACTGAGCCTCCGACAACGCGGCTCTCCCTTTTGTACTGAGCCCCCGACAGTGCAACACTTCCTCAAGTACTGCATGGGAGGGTCAGCCTGGACTTTGTGCTCAAGAATCCCCCAGGGACTCAAACACACAACCTCCTGACTCAGAGGTGAGGGGGCGACTCACTGAACAAGGATGACACACGAGCCTGTGATGATAGTGTTTTGTCCTCAACCTGCTCCAAGAAAGGCAAAACAAAATAAGATAATTAATTTGAATATCTTATTATTAGGATATGCTCATTGAAGAGCTGTTGAATTTTAGAAGGTATGTAAATTGAGTTTGTCAGAAGAAAATGTTTTTACTGACAGGAGGATGGGTAACCAGAGCTTTAAAGTAATTGGGAAAAGATTCAGAGACACAAAGGAGAATACTTAACCCACAGCGACGTGCTGTGACCTGGAATGACCTGAAAGGGTGATGGAGCAGATTCACCCATCTAATGGGAATTAGATAAATACTTGAAAAGCCAAAACATTGGCAAGGCTCTGGAGATAGAGCCAAGGGAGGTATCACGTTAATTGGATAGCTCTTTCAAAAGAGCCAAAATGTATGTAATGGGCTAAATGGCCTTATTCTGCACTGTAAGATTCTGAATGCAGTTGAGAATAAGTAGAAACACAGTCCATAAGAACACAATTTTTCACAGCTTGGGAGATGTATGCTGTAGATTCCATGCCGTTTTGTTTGCTGTGTTTCAGTGTTTTCATTACGTTTCTTGCTGAAGCCCTGTTGACATTGTAGATAATCACTCCATTTTTGTTCTCTGGATTTGATGCACCATATGAGACTTGTGGTGATAACAACGGTTTGTTCTGCTGTCACACAGACACCCAACACCTGAAGACCCACAGTTCTCACTGGCGTGGGAACCTGGCAGTGAAGAATCTTTGGTGGAGGGCGGGTGAGGGGTCACAGATTCCGAGAGCCCCCTCTCCAGCCAATACGCATGTGTGGGGAGATGTTCTTGTTTTGGAGTCATTAACACTGCAGGTAAGATGCCGTTTGAACAGGGTGTGTGGTGGACTGGGGCTCACTGCTAGGGGATTTGTGGGTGGGGGTCACATTGATTGGACAGAGCAGTAAGATCCTTGTATCATTGGATTGTATATGGATTGTTTCAGTCTGTGTGATCGGATGGCAACCAGAGCATGGCACGCTGACTGGATAGCGACTGGGGCATATTGCACTGTCTGATTGGATAGTAGTAACCAAGGCATACTTGAGTTGTCCGATTCGATAGTGATCAGGGTATATTGTACTTCTTGATTAGACGGTGTTTGTGACCTATCACGCTGACAAACAGGAAAGTGACTGAGATATATGGCCCTGTGATTTGGTGATAATTGTCTGGCTGCAGTGTGTGGCAATCAGGAAGGGTGTGGGCGTTGGGTAAATTGACTGCATGAAGCTGGGATGTCTTGTTCTCATGCTGAGCCAACATCTGATTCTCCCATCTCTGGTTCTAGGGGAGCTACAGTCAGGCACAGTCTTTTATTGGGGATTTTGCCAACTCTGTAAACCTAGATGGCACAATGAGTGAGCTGCAGGTGGAGATCTCAGACACAGCAGTGGAGTGCTTATCCAAAGTATTGTCACTGATTCATGAAGGAAGGAAGAAGCATTGGGGAGAGAGGTTGGAGATTGACAGCACACCTGTAAATCTGGATTCAGGTTCTCCTGGTGGATCGGACATCTATCTCTTTAAGATCAATGTTAAGTTGGAAGATATCGCTCTCTTCTTTCTCTCCAGCACCACAGGTGGGTTCGAGTTGATCGTGTTTCTTTTATAATCTTTGTTTGATTCCTGATTTTTTCTTTAGGAGCAAGAGATGGCTGTTTCAGAGCTGGAACTTGCTCTGTCTCTCAATCAGATCACATTGGATTATACTAGTTTGGCTGCAAATTAAGTATCTTATCCAGTTCTGCCCATTACACTTTTGGAAGGATGTGAAGGCATTGGAGAGGGTTTGGAAAAGTTTCACCAGAATGCATCCAGGGATGCGGAATTTCAGGGGATTTTTTTTATTATCGATACACGGGATGTGGGTGGTGCTGGCTGGGCCAGCATTTAATGTCCATCCCTAGTTGCCCTTGAGAAGGTGGCAGTGAGCTGCCTTCTTGAACTGCTGCAGTTCATGCGCTGTGGGAAGACCCACAATACCATCAGGAGGTTTGCTGCAGAGGGGTGGGTGTTGAAATCCTACATTTGATGCATAAGTTGTTTAATCTGCTCTGTCATGCAGGTGCCAGCATTTTACGAGTCAAAACCTTCTCCATTGATAAAAGCACAGATAACTTAATCTGTGAGGTGGAGAGGCTGTCACTCATAGTGGTGAAGACTGTAAAAGAGAGTATGGAGCTCCGGCCCAGCAACTCAGCAAGTTCCGACCCCTTCCTCCTTATGTCCCATTTCTCCATGGCTTTCTTCATGCATGGTTGGTCGTTCGAGGTAAGAAATCCAGGATTGAGCATGAGGCAGTTAAACAGCTGCCAATCCATCAAAGTCTGTTTATACGAGAAATATAGTGAAACCTTGAAATCGCAAAATCAAATCAGCAAGTTTATCGTCTGTTTTACCTTTTTTCCCTTTCTTTCATCTGTCTGTCTGTCTGCCTCTTGTCACACTCACTGGGATAGTGCACTGGAGCTCAAGCTACATTTTTTTTTTGGAGTCACCACGGATTTGAATATTCAGTGAAACTAATGAAAATCCCAGTTTCTATCTGACTGACTGTTACCCAGGATAAAATCAAACCACGTCAAGTTCCTTCAGTGACAATAGAAAATAACTATTAATTGTCACATTCTGAACTTTATCAGAAGAACAAGATTTCTAGTTTATGTAACTTAAACTTTACCCCAATGAAACACACAAATGCGCACACAGAGTGAAAAAACACACATATTGAGTGGAAGGAAAAAATAGTCAGAGGAACGCAGTTCTGTGATGCCAGCTCACAAAACTAGATGGGTTGGTTTCACAGTCCTTAACTCTTCAATGATGCCTCAATGTTATTTGGGTTTAAGAATTATTAGTTGCAGCGTCTCTGAATGTAGTTTTTCTGCTTTCTTGACAGAGTATTGGAGATAGCAACTTTACAAAGAAAGGGGAGAGAGGAAAGATTACTGCAGCTAACTTCAGGAGATCACCTTGCTTCTCTCTGTCTGATTCACTCCCCTCAGTGTCTGTGTTAAACTGCAACTTGGCCAATTAAAGGATTGTCGTTATGCTCAGCTGTCCTGAATCTTTACAAATGGGTGCCACTTTGTCTGGACTCACTGTTCCCATAAAGTAACATTTGCACTAGTTAGTATCACTGTTTTCCAAGAGCTACAAACAACTCCTTGTACTTCCTCTCCTTTTTAAATGTGTCTAATTTTCTCCTTTTCAGTCCATAGTCCAAAAATAAAATACGTGTGGTACATTTTATATATTAAGGTGCCTTGATTTCAAATCCTTCAGCACCCTCCTTACCTCTGTAATCTCCCCCTGCCCTATAACCCTCCGAGATCTCTCTGTTGCTTCCTTTCTAGCCTCTTGCACATTCCCGATTTTAATTTCTCAGCCACTGGCAGTCTTGCCATCAGCCACTTGGGCCCTACACGCTGGAATTCCTTCTGTAATTATCTGCTCATCCCTTTCCTCCTTTAAAATATTTATGAAGCACTATCTCTTTAACCAAGCTTTTGATCATGAGCATTTATACCTATTACCCTCGGATAGTGCGGTGCTCCCTCGGTGCTGACCCTCTGGACAGAGCAATGCTCCATTGTGTTGACCCTCGGACCGCGCGGCACTTGCCCTCGGACCACGTGGCCCTCCCTCAGCACCAATTCACCGAATGAAGCACTATATTTTGTCCTAATTTCTTTAGCATGCAACTTGACGTGATGATCTTCCAACTCAGCATTGTGAGGGAGAGAATGTTACCCACTGAGGCACTGTTGACAGTGGAATGGTTGGGGGATGATGAGTGAGTGTGTGAAAAATGGTAACCTGTGTGTCTAATGGCTTGGTTTTGTTACAGCTGAGTTCCTTTGAGGACATCAAAGTGCATTGGGATCCAGTCAGCCACATGTACCTGTACCACCACAGCCAGGAGGCACAGCATCTACTAGAAAGCCTTCTCAAGGTCATGCTGCTGTTAGACGTGGGTGAGCAGACACTGGGAGGAGAGGGGAGGAGATCCCTAGACCTGGACCTGGAGCTAAAAAGTCTCATAGTCAGAGCACACGTGACAGCGAGAAAGTTTGTTCAGCTGCAGTTGGAGAACTTAGTCTGTTCAGCCAATGCTGTTGAGAGACTGATCCAGTCATCGCAGCTTATCCTGAGCTTTGATGGGCATGACATCTTCTTGTTCAAAGGACTGGATGGGCGGTTAGAAAGGGACCGGGTTGAACCAGTGTCCCTCCGTGCCCGACGGGAGTCTGCACGCGCTCCCAAGAACGACCTGTGGATCATCAAGTTCCAAAGCATCACTGTGGAGTTCCCATTCCGTTACGATTTTTCCCAAACCTTTGACAAATGCATTAATGTGCAGAAGTGGCTGAAGGCGCTCCATGGGTGGGTGGGGTCAGAAGAGGATCAAAGAACAGAGGGGTCACTGCCCCCTGACCTGGTACTGCAGGTCAGCCATTTCTCTTTTGTCTTCTTGGACAATGTTTTTGAGGTGAAGCTGCGTGATGACTATGAGCTGATGAAGGATGAGAGCAAAGAGAGTGCGAAGCGGCTACAGCTGCTGGATGCCCGGGTGACGGCACTCAGAAAGCAACATGGAGAGCTTCTACCTGCCCGCAAAATCGAGGAGCTGTATGCCGCCCTGGAGCAGACCAACATCAACATGTATGTTCAGCGGTCACAAAGACTCTATGCCAACACACCCATGCGCAAGGCTCTGCTAACCTGGGCGGTGACAAACCTGGAGATCACAGCCTCGGTTGACCCTGCTGTGCAAGACGTTGAGTCAGTGATGAAGGAGATGGTGAAGATCGACCCGTTCAGCCATTTGCCTGAGAAAGGCCTCCAGACGACCATCCTGTGGTTCCGGAGAGTGCAGTTTACAGCCGACGCATTTCTCGGTGAGTCCATTTGGAGGAAAGGGATTGCAAAAGCTGTGACCCTTGCTTGGTGCAATTGTACTGCTGTGGGGAGCACACTTTCTCATCTCAGAATCAGAGCCGATGGGTTTAAGCCCCACTCCATATACTGGACCATGTAATCCAGAATGATGCTGCTGGCCGTCATATCATTGTTGAAGAGTCAGCACCAAGGGAGCATCTCCCTGTTCAGGATCAGTAGCGAGGATAATCAGAGGGTCAGTACAGAGGGAGCTCTAAGCTGGAAAATGGTCAGTACAGAAGTTTAGAGCTCTCTCCGTACTGTTGCTTCAACAGGGTAGTGCTTCCCCTAACTCAGTCACTATCTGACGGTATGATGCTGCCACAGTATTGACTCATGGACAGTGCAGCACTCCCTCACTACTGACTCTCCAGCTGTGCAGCACCCATGCAGTACTGACACTTCAACAGTCAGCCACTGCTGTAGCACTGACACTCCTGCAGTGCAGAATTCCCTCAGTCCTGAGCCTCGGACAGTTTGGCACTCCCTTGGCAATGGCCCTCCAACGGCATAGAGCTCCCTCAGTGCTGACCCTCCAACAGTGTGGTGCTTCCTCGGCGTTGACCCTCCGGCGTGGCACTGCCTCAGCGCTGACCCTCTGGCACGGTGCTCCTTCAGCACTGACACCCCAAAGGTGCGGCACTGACCCCACTCGATGGCGCGTTGCTCCCTTGGCACTCCCTTGGTTTTGCACTTGTATTATCAGCTTGTTATGAGATTTGATCTACAACCTCCTGAGGAGTTAGAAGGGGGAATCCCAGCTCAACTTGAACTGTTCCCCAATGTCCACACAACATATTCTTCTTCTATTTTATAAAGCTTGTCTTCCCAGGATGAGTAGAGCAACAAGTCCCAACGTATCCAGTCACAGAGCCTGCGAAGAGCACAAGTTTGATACATGGTCTTTGATAAAAGTTGACTGCTTCTGATTAGATTGAGATGGTGAGGATTTAATGTGCTTCCTAAGAGTAGTTTTCAAAGGCACCAGGCGAGTCTCACGGGTGACCAAAAGCTTGGTGAAGGAGGTTGGTTTGTAGTCTCATTTTAAAGGAGATGAGTGCAAGTTGGAGTGGTTCAAGGAGGGAATTCCAGAGCTTATAGTCTAGACGTGGCTGCCATTGATAGAAAAATTAAAATTAAGGGTCCATGTTGGAAGAGTGCTGAGATCTCAGGTGGTTGCACTGACCTTTCTGGGAAATGCATTCTGTGGTGTAAGCCAGATAGCATCAAGTGTGACACCCTCACAGCTCAATAGGAGACCAGCAAGAATGGCTTCCTAGCTGAGACACCAAAGGGCACCTCCATGATGCTATGGAATGGGAAAGAGGTGGTGGTTGGGAGGTATAGAGAGACTGTCAGAATCGCTAATACCAATGTTGCTTGTGTCTTCAGTTCGAATCCGGGACTACCCTCGCTACATGTTTGAGATTCGGGACTGGAAACTATCCGGGAAACTGATTGTAGCGGAGGAAGATGGCAGGCCAAAAGCACGGAGGAAGGTGCACATAGCACTTGGAGAGCCCTGGGGAGATGCCATCGTTGAAAGGAACATGCCACCCTTGAAATGGTACCATGACTTTGAATGTAAGTACCAGGTGTTACAGCTCACAAGAACTGTTGTGAAAGTAGCTCACCCTCCTCACCCCTCCCCTCTTTGCCTCCCCAGCCCAGATTTCTCTCTTCACCATTGTGTGGGGCCCCTGCTGGGACCCGGCCTGGACTCTGATTGGACAAGCTGTTGACCTCCTCACCAAACCTTCGGCTGATCCGAGCCCACCCCTCAACTGGTGGGATAAAAGCCGCCTCTTGTTTCACGGGTCCTGGAGCATGGACATTGAACAAGCCAATTTACACCAGCTTGCCACAGAGGTATGATGAGAGGGAGCATGGGGAGAGAGGGGGAAGCAGAGGGGAGAGAGAAAGGAGTGGGAGAAGCGAGGGGGAGAGAGGACGGAGTAGGGGAAGAGGCAGGGAGTGGGTGATGAGAGAAGGGAGACAGGAGAGAGTGAAGGGGCAAATATGGAGGAGGGGGAGAGAGGAGGGAGTGGGCGAGAGAGTGGAAGAAGGTGGGAGGGGCGATAATGTGTAAATACAAAACAAGAAATGGGAAGGACAGAGTGAGGAAAGACAAAATAGGGATGGGGTAAGAGGCCGAGAGCTGGGGAGGTAGCAGAGAGATGTTGCAGGGGAGCTGAGGTAGACTGGCTTGGGATGAAAAACGAATGTGCAAGAGTCTGGATTGTGCAGGGTGAGAGTTAGATTAAAAGACTCTGCTTCTGTGTTACCAAACAGGATCCATACAACACAACGGAAAACATGCACTGGGAATGGAACAAGTTACAGTTCAACTGGAGGAGTTGTCAGTTTGTTTTTAAAGGTGACCTTGATGTCAACGTCCGAACTGCATCCAAGTAAGTGCCTGGCTAATGTCCTCCAATTCTCCCCAAAGCTTAGGAAAAAATGTTGTCAGCCATGGCTGATTGGGCAGCACCAAGACCTCTGAATCAGAAAGTCGTGTGTTCAAGCCCCATTCCAGACAGTTGATCCCTGCATTAAACCTGACACGGTGCAGTGCTGAGGGAGCGCCGCGCTGTCGGAGGGTCAGCGCTGAGGGAGCGCCACCCTGTCGGAGGGTCATGCTCTCAGGTTGGCCATCCTTCAGATGAGACATCAAGATGAGAACCCATTTGCCCTTCCTGGATGAGCATAGAAACGAGCACTGCGCACAAGAAATATAGCTACACGTGAATCAGAACATCTTTTGAAGAGAAAAGTTGGCATGTAGTTCTTGCATAAGAGAAACAAAGATGAACAATGGGCAGGACTTAATATCCCCAATTCAAGGATGGGTGGGGGGGTGGGAGGGTGGGAGAAAGTGCCAAGTGATTGTGACTCTTTTGGCCTCCTCTTTGCTGTCCAGATATGATGATTGCTGCTTTCTCCACCTGCCCGATCTATGCATCACCATCGGCCTCCAGTGGATCAGCCAGGGGAATCCCCATGACCACCATAGTGTCACTGTGTGTTCGTCAGACAAGGTGGAAATCCTTCCAGATGCAGAGAAGCATGATTCCTATAAACTCTTTCGATCCGAGAGTCTCAATTTGTCAATAACCATGGACCTGAATCGCTCTGGCCGAGGTGAGTCTCTTTGCTTATATTGGGACCGTATGTTTTTACGTTGTATGCATTTATGCTGTGCTGAGATGTGTGTGTTTACACTGTAGTGTGTGTTTACACTGTAGTGTGCTGAAACTGCGTGTGGGGCTCTGTGTGTTTATGCTGTGCTGGTTCTGTGTGCATATACAATGTGCTGGGCCTATGTGCCCGTTACACTACACTGTGTACACTGTGCTGGTACGGTATGTATTTATGCTATGAGTCATAGAGTTATACAGCATGAAAACAACCTGGCATGGCATGTGTTTATGCAGTGAACAACTGAGCACACACCTGACTGTGATGCTCAGATCCATAAATGAATGAAAATAAAGCAGATCCCTTGGAAGATACAACTGACCCTATCTCCCATTCTATGTTTCCATTCTGCTCCTGATCCCTGAACAATTGAAAGTTGGTTGAGATTTGCCTGGGCTCGGCATTCTCGTCCCCCTGACTACATGTGCGCGTTTCCCTGGCTCATGTCACGGCCACCCACATCGCTCTAAAATTATCTCATAAACTTTGATACATTTTTGAAAGGCCAAAAGTAAATTACACCGTTGAAGGGGAACTAGTATATCCCACAAGTGAGCAGTGGAGTTGCAGATTTCTTCCCCGGTTGTAGTTAAATTGATGAGATTTTGGATAGTATTTCACATGCACTCAGTAACTGAGTGGATTCTCTCTCAGACACCACAGAGCCCCGAATCCTGTTGTATAGCAGCACTCTACGCTGGATGCAAAACTTCTGGGCAACTTGGACAAATGTCTCCAGACCAATTTGTCGTGGGAAACTCTTTCAAAACCTGAAACCGAGTAAGAAGAAGCTGAGCCAACATTACAAGCAGGTGTCCTTCAACCCGGTATTCCCTCAAATACAGGTAATGAAGCTGCCAGTCTCTCGCTTACCCCCCTGCCAATCGGCTGCTTCTCCCCCTTGCTCTCTTTCCCAGCCCTCCATCTCATGCAGTACTCTCTGGCAGTCCTGCAGCTTGACACATTGTCCTGCTGTTGTAGACATGGTCCAATGTTTCTGGGTATTCTCTGATCCATGTACTTCCTCCTGACAGGTACATTACTGGGCATCATTTGCACAACAACGTGGGATTGAGGTGCAGTGCACCCAAGGGCATGTGTTTACCCGAGGAACCCAGAGATTCATTTTGCAGGGTAAGAACGATTTGCACTTGTAAAGAAACTTTCACAATATCTGACAACTTCTGAAGCATAGCTGCTGCTGTAGGAAATTTAGCTGCCAACATATATTCTGAGAAATCCCACAAACAATACTGGATTTTGTTTTTAATTATGTAGGTTGTGGCATAAAGATCGGCTCGGAGAACGCTGTGCTTTTTTCAGTAGTGCTGGTGGATCTTTAACAGCCATCTAACCAGTCAGTGATATCCTCTGTTTAATGTCATATTCAATCTCTTTGGCATGAAACACTTGCTTCCTCTGCAGCTGCACAGCAGCAATTAACCTACGTTCACCTCTCAGCAGCCTCAATCTGCAGCTTTCTTCATATGAACTAACCTGAGAGAATGCCTTGGGTTTCACTCCTGGTAGTTACTAAGTTGGCTGCAGTGAAAAACTAACCTCCTGACTCCCCAGAGCCTGTCCACCATCTACAAATCACAAATTAGGAGTGTGATAGAATACTCGCCACTTGTCTGGATGAATGCAGTTGTAGTAACATTGTGAAGCTCAATACCATCCAAAACAAAGCATCCTGCTCGATTAGCACCACATCTGCTACCATCAATATCCATTCATTCCCTTCACTATCAGTGCAGTGTCAGCAGGGTGTACTATCCAGAAGATGCAATGCATTAACTCATCCAAGATGTTTAGACAACACCTTCAAAAGCCAAACCACTACCATCTACAAGGGCTAGGGCAGCAGATATATGGGAACACCACCCCACCTGCAAGTTCCCCTCCAAGCCACTCACCCTTCTGACTTTGAAATATATTGCCATTTCTTCAGTGTCACTGTGTCAAAATCCTGGAACTCCCTCCCCAAACAGCATCTATCTACCTCAAGGTCTACGTCAGTTCAGGAAAGTGACTCGCCACCACCTTGTTGGGGGCAGCTCGGGATGAACAAAAAATGCTTGCACCAGCTGTGCTGGGAACAACAGCGACACTAAGGTCTGTGAATAAATGAAAATAAAGTGAATCTCCTGGAAACTACAACTGACCTTGTCTCCCAGTCCACATTTCCATTCCGTTCCTGATCACTGACCAGTTGAAAGTTGGTTGAGATCTGTCTGGACTCAGCATTCTCATCCTTCCTGACAAATATCCCTCCAGCACCCAATGTTTGGCCTTGAACCATTCTGCCTAAACGTTGGACAACACGCATGTTTTTTGGAACCTATAGACCAATGAGTGCATTGAGTACAGGAGTTGGGACGTAATGTCGTGGCTGTAGAGGACTTTGGTAAGGCCACTTTTAGAATATTGAGTTCAGTACTGGTCTCCCTGCTGTAGGAAAGATGTTGTTAAACTTGAAAGGATCCAGAAAAGTTTACAAGGACGGTGCTGGGATTGGAGGATTTGAGCTATAGGGAGAGGTTGAATAGGCTGGTGCTATTTTCCCCGGAGCGTTGGAGGCAGAGGGGGTGACGTTCTGGTGGTTTATAAAATCATATAGTCAAGGCCTTTTTTGCAGGTTAGGGAAGTCCAAAACTAGAAGGCATAGAACATAAAACTGTACAGCGCAGGACTGGTCTATTCAGCCGAACATGATGCCAAATTAGACTAATCCCTTCTGCCTTGGTCCATATCCCTCCATTCCTTGCATATTCATGTGTTTATTCTAAAAGTCTGTTAAACCCCAATATCGTATCTGCCTCCACCACCACTCCTGGCAGCGCATTCCAGACTCCTACCATGCTCTGTGTAAAAAAAAAAAAAAAAAAAAACTTGCCCCTCGCAACTCCCTTGAACTTTCCCCCTCTCCCACCTTTAAATGTATGCCCTGTAGTATATAGGTTTAAGGGGAAAGATGTAAAAGGGACCTGAAGGCCAACTTTTTCACACAGAGGGTGATGCGTGTATAGAACAAGCTGCCAGAGGAGGTGGTGGGTGCGGGTGCATTTACAACATGTAAAAGGCATCTGGATGGGTACATGAATAGGAAGGGTTAGAGGAATATGTACCAAATGCTGGGCTAGGTCAGTTCAGGATATCTGGTTGGCGTGGACGAGTTGGACTGAAGGGTCTGTTTCCGTGCTGTATAACTCTGACTCTAAGTGTTTATATCCGTGACAGGTCTTTAAATTCCCTAAATATTTAGAGGCATTTATGTGAAGAGATGGCCTGAAATGCATTCCTCTGTTTTATTGGGTTGGTGACACTGAGATTTTCACAATTAATTCTCATCCCCAGTTCACTTTATAATCAATACCTTGTTTTGTCATTTCAAGCTGAGTCTGCAGCATAGAACCAGGCCATTTGGCCCTGTTCTGTGTTATTATTTCTGCTCCATACAAGCTGCCTCCTGCCACCCTTCATCTCATCATGTCATCAAATCCTCTATTTCTGTCTTCCTTGTGTGTTTATCCATGTTCTGTTTAAATGTATTTATACTATTCATCTTGACCACTCCCTGTGGAAAAGAGTTCCATATACTTGCCTCTGTCTAAGGAAAGACATTTCTCCTGAATTTCTGATTGGATTTATTATTCTTATACTGTTAGCCCCCTGGTTGTGGTGTCTCCCGCTAGTTAGGAACATTTTGTCCATGCCTACTCTGTAAAATCCTTCATAACTTTAGGGACCTCTACCAGATCATCCCTCAGCCTTCTCTTTTTAATCTATTAGACAGCAATTTAGGAGCAGGAGCAGGCTGTTCAACCCTTCAAGCTACTACACCAATCAATAAGATCATGGAAAGTCTCAACTCCACCTTCCCATCAGCCAACATAAACCTTGACTCCTTTGTCTATCAAAAATCTATCGAGCTTTGATTAAATTCAGTGACCCAGCCTAGCCTCCACTCCTTGCTGCAGAAGGGAATTGAATAGACTGAAAAAAAGTTGTCATCTCTGTCTTAAAAGAAAGATCTCTTTATTCTCAAAATAGATCCTCTCTGCAAGAGAGAACCTCCTGTAGGTATCCATCTGATATAATTTTCTCAAGATCTCATATTTGTCAGTGAGATCATCTTTCATTCATCTGAACTCCAGTGGATATAAACCAAACCTGTTGATCTTTCTCGATCATTGCAATCTTTTGGTTCTGGTGTCAACCTCGGGAATTTATTTAATAGTTTCTGCAGTGCTGCTTCTATTTAATATTGTAGTTTTACTGAGAGTGGGGTTTGTTTTCACAGGGGACACAGTGCTGCGACGTCCAGTTTCAGAGTGGAATATCACTGATATGCGCAGTGATCTGAGTTTGGTGACGGTCTACCTAATGACATCAGCATTAGAGGAGAGTGCGGAGCAGAGGTTGAACTCCCAGGCGACCAAAACCCACCTCCTCAGCCTGTCATCACTCAGCTACCAGCGGCAGAGCAACAAAATAGAGGAGGTAACTCTCTATGGGGACCAGATACCCTGTGGGGTGAGAGAGGGTAACCCTGAGGAGGGGCAAGGGACAATCTTGTAAAGTTGTGTGGGGGTGTGGGTGGTGAAGGGTAATCCATGCTGGAGGGAGACATGGGAGAAAGATAATCTTTTGGGCAGTTAGGCAATTGTGCACGTGGGTCAGGAGATAATCCTGCACCAGAAGGTTAAGTCTTCTAATTTCTGGCCTGTGTTAGACCACAGTGACGCTACACATTGTGGGAGGAATTGACTCAGTGTGGTGTCGGAAAGCAGGAAACGACAGGCTAGTTGATTATTATCAGTCACAGAAAAAATACTGAAATCCATTATTAAGGAGGTTATAACAGGCCATTTAGAAAACCTCAATGAAACTGGTCAACATTGTTTTGTGAAAGGGAAATCACAGAATTCCTACAGTGCAGAAAGAGACCATCCAGCCCATTGAGTCTGCACCGACCCTCCAAAGAGCATCCCATCCAGACGTAGCCCTCCACCCTGTCCCTGTAACCCTGCATTTTCCATGGCTAATCCACCTAGCCAGCACATCCCTTAACTCTATGGGGCAATTTAACATGGTCAATCCACCTAACCTGCACAACTTTGGACTATGGGAGGAAACTGGAGCACCTGGCAGAAACCCACACAGACACTGGGAGAATGTGCAAACTCCACACAGTCACCCAAGGTTGGAGTTGAACCTGGGTCCCTGGTGTTGTGAGGCAGGAGTGCTAACCACTGAGTTACCTATGTTTATTATTTATTGGAATATTGTGAGGAAGTAACAAACTATGTGGATAAAGGAGAACCTCTGGATTTGGGGTACTTGGATTTCCAGAATGCATATGATAAGATACCACATTAAAAGCTTCTATGCAAAATTAGAACTCATGGTGTATGGTGTAACATATTAGCATGGATTGAGGCTTGCTTACCTAATAGGAAGCTGCAGTTGGGAATAAATAGGTTATTTTCAGGATGCTGGGATCTGACAAGTGTTGAGACCCGGGGATTGGTGCTGGGGTCTCGGCTATCTATGACTTGCATCAGTGACTTGGATGTAGGTACTGAAGATATGCTTGCTAAGTTTGCTGATGATACAAGGACAGGTAAGAAAGTAAGTTGTAAAGAGGATGTAAGGAGTCTCCAAAGGGATATAGATAAGTTGTGACCTGGCAAATGTTTAGCAGATGGCATATAATGTAGGAAAATGTGAATTTTTCCACTTTGGTAGGAAGTATTGAAAAACAGCATATTATTTACATTGACAAAGACTGCAGAACCCTGAAGCACAGTGGGACCTGGGAGTACAGGCACATGAAACAAAAAGTATGCAAGTTTTCCTGTGGGAATTTTTAATGCATTATTTAAAGTTGTTTCAGTCAGTTGCAATTTTCAGGATTGGAACCACAAGTTTAAATGAGGACTTCCTGGGATTAGGAAGGCAAGTGGAATGTTATTGTGTATTACAAGAGGAATAGAATATAAAAGTATAAAAATGTTTTGCTACATATGTATAGAGCAATTGGTGGGGCCTTATCTGGAGTACTTTGTCCATTTTTGATCTCCTTATTTTAAAATGGTTATAATTGCTGAAAAGAAGAGATGCACTGGATTAATTCCTGGGTTAAGGGTGTTATCCTGTGAGCAAACAATTGTCATGTTGCATCAGTATCCATTAGAATTTAGAAGAATGAGAGAAATCGTATTAAAATACATAAGATCCTGAAGGGACTTGACAGGTGGTTGCTGAAAGGAACAGATCCTATACATTGGAGGGTAGCTAATGTAACTCCACTACTAAAAAGAGAGAAAACATGGAATTATAGACCAGTGAGTCTGTCATCAGTAGTGGGCAAGATGCTAGAATTCATTATAAAGGAATTGTAGCAGAACACAGGGGGGAAAGAGTGATAGAATCGGAAACAGTCAGCATAGATTTACAAAAGGGGAACTATGCTTGACAAATCTACTGGAATTCTTCAATGATGTAGCTTCAGGGGAGCCAGTGGGTGTGGTTTGTTTGGACTTTCAGAAGGCTTCCGACAAAGCTTCCACGTAAGAGATTAATGTGTAAAATTAAAGTGCGTGAGATTTGCACTGTGCACTAGTTGCTGGAAGCAAGTGCACAGATGCAGCAGGTAGTAAAAAAATACAAACTGTCTGTTGGCCAAGTGGAGTCAATACAGGTAAAGGATGTCTTGCTGCAATTATGCAGGGCCTTGGCAAGACCACCCCTAGAATATTGTGTGCAGTTTTGGTCTCCTTATCTGAGGAGGGACATTCTTGCTATAGAGGGAGTGCAGAACTGACAAACGAGGAGAGATTGTGAGATAACAGGGTGTAGAGCTGGATGAACACAGCAGGCCAAGCAGCATCAGAGGAGCAGGAAAGCTGACGTTTTGGGTCTAGACCCTTCTTCAGACCCTTTTTCCTGCTCCTCTGATGTTGCTTGACCTGTTGTGTCCATCCAGCTCTACACCTTGTCATCTCAGATTCTCCAGCATCGGCAGTTCCTACTCTCTCTCTACGAGGAGAGATTGGTTGGTTAGGATTGTATTCATTAGAATTCTGAAGAATGAGGGGGGATAACATAGAAACCTACAAAATTCTAACAGGACTACACAGGCTGGATGCAGGAAGGAAGTGCCTGATGGCAGGGAAGTCCAGAACCAGGATCATAGTTTAAGGATATGGGGTAAACCTTTTTGGACTGAGATGAGGAGAAATTTCTTTACCCAGAGAGTGAAACTTAACTGCCACAGAAAGTGGTTGAGGCCAGACCATTGTGTGTTTTCAAGGAGGTAGATATAGCTGTTGTTACTGAAGCAATCAAGGGATATGGGAGGAGGGTAGGATTAGGGTATTGAGCTTGATGACCAGCCATGATCGTACAGCGTATAGGAGCAGGCTTTGAGCGGTTAAATGGCCTACTGCAGCTCCTGATTTGTATTTTTGCAATGTGCTCCTTTCAGTCCCTGATGTTTTGTTCTCTGGGACCACTGGCACTTGCCCTGACTTCATTGGAACTGTGTGCACTCAGAGCGATTGTTTTGAGGTTGAGTCGGAGTTCTGGGTGGTTGTGTTGCTTTCTCCACTCTAGTGTGACGGTGTCTTGTTTGGACAGGAAGTATCAGTGAAGGAGGAGAGGAGTTACACCCACAAGCTGTGCCTTATTGATCTGAGAGCATCATGGACACCAACCAATCGCAATGTAGCATTTGGCCTCTATGACGGCTACAAGAAAGCTGCTGTACTGAAGCGCAACCTGTCAACCGAGGCACTGAAAGGGTTAAAGGTCGATACTGACCTGCAGACCAAGAAACCGAAGCGTTCGCCACTGGTAACACCTGTCCTGAAACCTGAGGATGAAAAGCCGGAGAGAAAATCGCTGGAAGGTAGGAAAATTGAAAGCAAGGAGCAGTGTGTGGTCAGAAGATGTAGAATCTGTGGAACTGCAAAGGGAAAAAGACCCTAATGGGAGATAGAAAAGGCGTGTAAGAAAAGCAGTATTACAATAATCATGGGGGACTTTGTCATGCAGGTAGACTGGGAAAATCAGGCTGGTAGCTAATTTCAAGAAAAGGAATTTGTGGAATATCTATGGGATGGTTTTTTTTTTGGAGCACCTTGTGGTAGAGCCCACCAGGAAACAGGCAGTTCTGGATTTAATGATATGCACTGAAGCAGACTTGATTAGGGAGTTGAAGGAGAAAGAGCCCCTGGGACAGTGACCATAATATGATAGAATTCACCCTATGGTTTGAGAGGAAAAACCTGGAATCACGTGAAATAGTGTTACAATTGAGTAAAGGTAACTACAAAGTCGTGAGGGAGGAGCCTAAGCTGATTGCCCCCCTGCCCTGGGCTCCCATCATCCCTGATGGCACTCTCACCTCTGAGTCAGAAGGCTATGAAGGAACTCCAACTGTACATTGCACTCTCCCAGCACACTATTGAGGGAGTGTCAGGGGGGCTTTCTTTCAGGTGAGGCAATAATGTGAGGCCCAGTCTTCCCTGTTGGGTAGGTGTGAAAGATGTCAAGGTCAGTAGGTCCTCCCAGTGACCTGACTGATGTTTATCCATAACAGAAAAAAAATTTGTTTGTGGAAGCTTGCTGTGCACAAATAGGCTGCTGCCTTTCTCACACCATGTCAGAGTCTGCACTTCCAAAGTAGTTCATTGGCTGTAAGAGCTTTCAAACCTCTGAAGTTATGATCAAGACACAGCCAAAGAGCTTTCCTTTCATGTTCTGAGGGCCCCTCATGATTACTTGTCCATCCTTCCCTCAGGTGCCTCGATGTTGCAGAAACTGATTGAGGAGACAGACAGGTTTGTTGTTTTCACGGAGGAAGATTCCGGAGTGTGTGATCAGTTGTACGGGAGCGCAGCATGCCAGACAGACGACGTGATCAACCGGAATTGGTTGATTGAGCTGGTGAACTCTCAGGTAATAACAGGAATCAGAGTGAGGCCAAAGGGAGAGCCGAGTGGAGTGGCTCCCTGAAGAGAATCTCCAATGTTAGAGACAAAATAACTCCTAGCCACTGCTGCCAGTTAAAGCAGCAGCTCCCTACTATTGATCAAATCAGAAAATGCAAAATTAATACTGAGCTCAGGAAATTGCTCTCTGTGGTCTCTCTTTTTTACGTTGTTTATTCGCCAATCCCATTCTCTACATGCCCCACTGCTTTATCTATCTCTCCCTCCTCTCTCTCCCTCGTATCTCTATCTCACTACTTATTCCCTCCCTCTCTCCTCATTCCCTCATTAGGGAGGCATGGTGGCTCAGTGGTTATCACTGCTACTTCACAGCGCCAGGGACATGGGTTCGATTCCAGACTGTGTGGAGTTTGCATATTCTCCCCGTGTCTGTGTAGGTTTCCTCTAAGTGCTCAGGTTTCCTCCCACAGTCCAGAGATTGCAGGTTAGGTGGACTGGCTTTGCTAAATTGCCCTGGGATTTCCAGGGATGTGTAGTCTATGCAGATTAGCCATGGGAAATGCAGGATTATAGGGACAAGGTAGGGGGTTGGGTCCGGGTGGGATGCTCTTCAGAGGGTCAGTGTGGATTCGAGGGCCAAATTGCCTGTTTCCACAATGTAGAGATTCTGTGATTCTCTCTCTTCATTCCTGCACCCCTCCTCCGCTTCGTTCTTGTCATTCTCTCATGCTGTCTGCCCTGTGACTTTTCTCTCCTTCCGTCTCTCCTCCCTCTATCCGTCTCCTCATCACCCCCCTTCTCTCCCTTTCATCTCTCCCTAGTCTCCCTCTCTCCCACTCCTCTCTCTTGTCCACCTGTCTCTCTCTCTGGAATTCCCTCTCTCCTTTCCCTCCCCCATATCTTGTTCTGCCTGTCTCCTGACTCCTCTCTATTTCTTTCTCAGCCTTCTATCTTACTCCCTACCCCACTTTTCCTCCACTGCATCACTCTGTCTCACTCTTACTTTCATCCCTGTATTGCTCTTCTTAACACCCATCTCTCTCTCTCTCTGTCTCTATCTCTCACCAATCTCTTGCTTTGCCGGCCCACTGACTACTCTCTTTCTGTCTCTCTTTCTGTCCCTCTGCTACTAGGTGATGTTACGTGGTGCTGAGACGGTGGGCTGTGTTTTTGTTAGTGCCACCAAGGCCCAGCTGCTGCAGTGCCTGCACCACCCAGCCTGGTACAGCGACACCCTCAAGCAGAAGACCACCTGGACATGTCTGCTGGATGGCATGCAGTATTTCGCCACTATGGAGACCAACCCTGCAGAGAAGGAGGAGTGTCAGCTATGGTTAGAGGTGAATGAATGATTTATTTATTGTCACTCAAATTTTACAGTGATTAACACAGGAAAAATACAGTGAAAAGCTTCAACAGTTGCCGCAATTTGGCACCATTTAAAATAGTTTAGGAATAAAAAGGATAAAAGATATAACTGAAAGAGTGTCCTGAGCCCTGAGCCAGCACACAATGACACCAGTGCCTCCACACACACACACACACACACACACACACACACACACACACTCCAACGTAGGGGTCACCACTCTCTTTAGGCACCATCTCTTTACTGCTGGGCCTACCTCACCACTGCCGATGCCGGTTCCCGTGCTGAACCCACGCTTGCCCTGCAACTAGTAATCCCTGGCTCCACTGCCAGACCAGGCTGCTGTCATCTCGCCAAGAGTCCTCCTCTGTCTGCCCTCCTCTGTGATGTTACCTTGCCCGTGCCGCCATCTTGAAACTTGTCCACTGCTGCCTCCACTCACTGAAGGAGCTTGTACGCCACTGCCAGCCCCGAATGCCAGGAGGATGTCTCTGCTGCTGGAACCACCGGCTCCAGTGGCTGGGAGAGCTGCGTCCAGTGCCACCTCTGACCACCAGGAGGAGCTGTCATTCCATGCTCAGACTATTTGGACTGCCAAGCCGATTTCACCAAGTAACCAGCCACAAAGGGCTCCAATGAAAAGAATGAAAGAAACAAATGAGAGAAAAAGAGAGACAAAAAAAAGAGAGAGCATGCAGGAATGGTGAGTTTAGAGACCTCTGAGATCAATCTTTTTCAGCTCCCTGCCCCTTTCCTGAGGACATGGGGACACAGGTCCTGCGCATACAAGGTCCCAAGCTCTGAAATTCCCACCGAAAGTCTTTCGTCCTGTAAGACACTCCATAAAAACCGATCTCTTTGACCAAGCTTCGGGTCACCTGTTCCAAGATCTCATTGTGTGTTCAGTGTCAGACTTAATCTGATTACACTCACATGGAGCATGGTGGGATTTTCTGATGTAAAAGCAAACTCTTGACGTGCATTATCCTAGTGCTGAAGGTTCAAGCATGAACCTACAGAGGGAATGTTGAACAGCAGCTAAGTTCACAAAGGACATCCCAAAAAATATCTCAGGCAGGGTGGTCTCTGGACAAAGGAGCAGTCAAGTATCTCTCCTTTAATTTGTTCTTGAGACATGAGCATCATGGGAATAGTTCATTGTTTGTGCTGATTCCAGACTATCCCCTGAGAATGTGCAATGTGGTGCAGGTTCTGACACTATCGTATGCCCTTTCAGGTCAAGAACATCGAGGAACATCGATCACGGAACCTAGACTCAGTGGCAGAGCTGATGGAGAGTGGGCAGGCTGTGGGGGGAATGGTCAGCACCACCACAGGTGAGAGAAGCCAGTCAAGAGAGGCAGGGCCTGGACTGCATAGGACAGCACTGAAGGAGTGCCGCACTGTCGGAGGGATATTACTGACGGAGTGCTGCACTGTCAGCGGGTCAGAACTGAAGGAGTGCCATACTGTCGGAGGGTCAGTGCTGAGGGAGTGCTGCACTGTCAGCAGGTCAGAACTGAAGGAGCGCTGCACTGATGGAGAGTCAGTGCTGAGGGAGCGCCGCACTGTCGGCGGGTCAGTGCTGAGGGAGTGCCGCACTGTCAGCAGGTCAGTGCTGAGGGAGTGCCGCAGTGTCGGAGGGTCAGAACTGAATGAGCGCCGCACTGTCGGCGCGTCGGTGCTGAGGGAGTGCCGCACTGTCGGCGGGTCGGTGCTGAGGGAGCGCCGCACTGTCGGCGGGTCGTTGCTGAGGGAGTATTACAACGACAGTGCAGTGTCATCTTTCATACCTTATCTGCCTATCAGGTGGGTGTAAAAGATCATATAGCCAATATGTCAAAAATAGAAACTGAGTTATTCCCATTGACCCAGCCAATAGTTATTCTGAAACAAGCAACAGTAAAAACAGATTGTGTGGTCAGTCATCTCATAAACTTTTATCTGCTTCCATGCTGTACCTGTTCTGTGAGTGTTTGATGGGAACAGTGCGGAGGGAGCTTTATATTTGTCTTAAGATTACAGGAAGCTGCACCTTCAGATTATGAGAATAGAGGGAACTTCACTCTGTATCTGACCCATGCTGTCCCTGTCCTAGTAGTGTTTGATGGGAACAGTGTAGGGGGAGATTTATTCACTGTCTAACCCTGTGCTGTCCCTGTTCCGGGAATGTTGACACTGAGTTACGTTCCCCTGGGAGACAAGCAGGCACTAAAAGCAATGGAGAAGATACTGAATGAGATGTGTAAGGGAATTGTTAGCGCGTGCTCTGATTGATGTTGTTTTTCTTGCCTGTATTCAGACTGGAATCTGCCAGCCCAGTGCCATCAGACACAGCAGGTTCAGCGGATTATCTCTCGCTGCAGTTGTCGAATGTATTATGTCAGTTACAGCCATGACATCGAGCCTGAGCTGGCAACGCAGATTAAACCACCCGAGATTCAGGAGAACCAGAAAGAGGATCTGCTGAAGAAACAAAATGGTGGGTGTGAGCGTTGGAGACATAGTGATGATGAAGCTGGACAGAGGACTATGACTATGGTCAATGTGAGGCAAGTTTAGGGATTAGTAAAGAAATATTTCTCCCCTGCGTGTGTTTGAAGGGCATTAGGATAGCTCAGGCAACAGGCAGTGGATTTGGGAGGCTGGAGTTAGCTGGTACTGGGCAATGGATTTGGGTGATTGGAGGTAGCTGGTACCGGGCAATGGATTTTGGTGATTGGAGGTAGCTGGTATATTTGAAAGAGGAAGTGCATGGAGTTCTGGTGACATGTGGGAAGTGTGAGAGGGATTGATGTTGTTACCCTGGAGGAAGGAGGAATGCAGCTGCCACTTAACAGGCATGAGGAGTGGTGCAGACAGATAGTCAGATGCAGCTGGACTGGAAGAATAAAAATGATTGCAGTTCAATTCCTATTGACTTAGCTCTAAATTAGTCAGCCTTTTACTCTTGGCATTTGCTGCCATATTTGGTGATTCTGGCTGAATTTCCTTCACGTCTATGCTGCTGTGACATAAAATCTGGCTTCGTGGCAGGGCATTGAGATCCTGTTTTATATGGTGGAGTGAGGATTTGCCCCACCTCCTCCCAGCTGGGCAAAAGCAGTCCCTTAGCAGGTAGTGCACTGCTTCTGTTATTGGGTTCGTGATCCCAGTTGAACCAGGCTGAAGCTTCTTCACCAGAAAGCAGAAGTCTCCTGATCAGAGCTGTTAAAATGATGAAAGTATTCAATAAGGTATATCTAGAGAAAATGTTTCCGCTTATGGGTGGGCCCAGAACCCTTGGCACCAATACAAGAGAGTCACAAATAAATTCAATCAAAAATTCAGGAAAAGTGTCTTCACCAACTCAGTGGTGAGAATATGGGACCAAAACAGAAGTTGCTGGAAAAGCTCGGCAGGTCTGGCAGCATCCGTGAAGGAAAAAACAGAGTTAACGTTTCGGGTCTGGTGACCCTTCCTCAGAACTGGTGGCGGCTGGGAAAACGTCAGTTTATATGCAGAAAAAAGGGGAGGGGGATGAGGTAGGGAGTAAATGATAGGTAGAGCCTGAAGAGAGAGAAGATCTATGTTACCACATTGTCTGCCATTACACAGTACCTATGTGGTAACATAGGCCTTCTCTCTCTTTGGGCTCTATCCTATCGTTTACTCCCTACCCCACCCACCTCCCTATTTTCTGCATATAAACTGACATTTTCCCAGCCGCCACCAGTTCTGAGGAAAGGTCACCAGACCCGAAACGTTAACTCTGTTTTTTTCCTTCACGGATGCTGCCTGACCTGCCGAGCTTTTCCAGCAACTTTGTTTTTGCTCCTGATTTACAGCATCCGCAATTCTTTTGGTTTTTATGTGAGAATATGGGAGTTGCTCCCATAGGAGTGGGCGAAGTGAATTGTATTGATATGATTAGGGAGAAGCTGGATAGACCCAAGAGAAGGAAAGGAATAGAAGGAGATGGTAACAGGTTGGGATGCAGAGGGGAAGGGAGAAGGTTCATGTGGAGCAGAAACGCTGATGTTGAATAGTTGAACCAAGCATTTCTGTGCTGTGTAATTCCATGTGATCCAAAAAATATCTGCTCAAATCTCTCACTTTTGGAATCAGAGCTTAAACTTTCTTTTTTAAAGAAAAGCCAAGACCTGTAAAAGTGCAGGTGAAGCTGTCAGATTTTCAATGAACCCATCTGGTTCATTAACATCCCTTTTTGGAAAAGAAATGTGCAGTCCTTACCTAATTTGGTCCAAATATTAACCCCAGACCTGCAACAATGTCACTGATTTTTTAACTGCCCTCTGAACTAGACTAGGAGGCCACTCAGACGTGGCGAACCCACTCCCGCTCCTAGCAATTCAAGGAGGTATTTCATTACCAACATCTGATGATGACAATGTGAATGGAGTCCTTAGAGTTGGCTACTTTAGAGTTGGCTACTTTATTTATAAATGACAGCCAATAAGAGTCTCTTAACAAGCTAGAGAATTAACTCCATATCTAAACGATGGATACAAGTTCAATACGAATTGTATGTATAAAGTCAATCCTAGCTCCTTCCTGCAGTTTAAAAAGGATCTGTCACGAAGTTGCAGCATTGTTGACAAAACCCACTGGTTCACCAATGCCCTTCATGGAAGGAGACTAGATTGGGGTGTTGGGAGGTTGGTTGATGTGCCAATTTAGCTAATACATGCTGTCCTGGGGTTGCAAACGGCTTTTCCATTCCTGAGCCTGTGCACAAATTGATTTGTACAAAAGTCGGAACACAGTGCAGGACAATATAAAGTCGCCATTTGTAAATACAGGAAATGTTCATATGTTGGATCTTTAAAATTACACCTTTATATGGGATCACGCTAATAAATATGAGTGTTCGAAAGTTGGATGTTCATAAAATGGGAACTCCCTGTGATCTCCTCAAGGATGAGTTTCACTTTATAGAGCTATCCCTTCCCGCTCTGCCAACAGAAACCTTCAGTCAGAGATACCAGAGGAGTGGCACAGTGGTAGTGTCATTGGACCAGTAATCCAGAACTCCAATCTACTGTTCTGGGAACGTGGATTTGAATCCCACCATAGCAGATTGCAGAATTTGAATTCATTAAAAATTTAAAGTAAAATGTTGATTGTTGTGAAAACCTGTCTGGTCCTTCCTTTAGGGAAGGAAATCTGCCATCTTGCCCATGTATGACCCCACACCCACAGCAATGTGATTGCTCTTATCCATCCTTTGGGCAATTAGGGATGGGCAATTAATGCTGACCCAGTAACATCTACACCCCTTGACTGAATTTTTAAAAACTCAGTACGTTGCAGGATGGTCCTCTCTCTCAATGTGATAATCCACTTGTATGTGTGTTTTATTTTCTGTGCCTCTTTTTAATCTGGATTTAGGTGCTGTGGACACCTTCACCCTGATCCATCATGACCTTGAGATATCCACCAATCCAGTCCAGTACGCCATGATCCTGGACATTGTCAACAACTTACTGCTGCTCGTTGAACCAAAACGGAAAGTATGTTAACTGCAGAGATTGATAACTCCATGATCATCCTGGAATGTGTGTGTGTATGTGTGTTCGTTCATGATTTTAACTCCTGGGCCATGTGTGGATGCCTGGAATAAAACGTGGTGTGTCTGTAAGTTTGTGAAGGCACAAGAGTGTGCAGTGTGAACCCCAGAGAGCAGTGTTGGCTGATGATTGTGGGGTTGAATGTAGAGTTAGATGTTACAGAATTCATAAAAACTGAAAGAACTGCAAATGCTGGAAATCAGACAATAAACAGAAATTGCTGGAAAAGCTCAGCAGGTCTGTCTGCATCTGTGGAGAGAAATCAGAGTTAACCTTTCGGGTCCAGTGACCATTTCTCAAAACTGATGGAAGCTAGGAAAATGTTGGTTTTCGTGCAGAAGATAGGGGGTAAGGAATAAATGATAGGTGGAGACAGAGCCCAAAGAGAGAGGGCTCCTTAGCTTACTTCCCCACCCTACCTTCTGCATAAAAACCATCCTTTTCCTAGCACCAGCAGCAGAGGTAGGCGATGCCAGTGTGTGTAGATGCCATACCCTGGTGAGAGACAGCATGTGTGTGGGAGCTGTATCCCAGTGAGAGTGTGTGTATGTGTGTGTGTGAGAGAGCCATACCCCGGTGTGTGTGTGTGTGTGTGTGTGTGTGTGTGTGTGTGTGTGGGGCGGGGGGAGCCGTACCCCGGTGAGAGTCAGTGTGGAGAGATATCCCTGTGATCACCAGGTTTGTTGTATCCTTTCTGGGTTTTCAGGAGCACAGTGAACGGAAGCAGCGAGTCCGGTTCCAGCTGGAGATCTCCAGCAATCCTGAAGAGCAGAGGAATAGTATCCTGCACCTTCAGGATGCAGTGAGGGAGCACGTGACACGGATCCGTCAACTCGAGAAACAAATCTACCTGATTATGAAGGTAATGAGCCTTTTGCGTTGCCTAGTAAAGTGTGCAGCAATACACACCCATGCCATTTTCAACTCACCATCTCCAAGCCTATAGCAACTTTGACACAGTAAAAATCCTCAAGATCTTTTACATGATATTATCAGATGAAATTTAACACTAAGCCACACAATGACATATTCTGTGACCGAGACGGATGACCAAACGTTTGGTCAAAGATGTAAATGTTAATGAGTGTTCTAGAGGAGGAGAGATGGGTGGAGACTCAGAAGATTCAGAAAGAAAGAAAACGAGCTAAAAAAAACCAATGAGGGCAACAGATTTTTCTGCAATAAAAACCAAAAGAATTGCGGATGCTGTAAATCAGGAACAAAAACAAAGTTGCTGGAAAAGCTCAGCAGGTCTGGCAGCATCTGTGGAGGAGAAAACAGA